TGTGAACTGTAATTATATTTGGATACTATTATACAATTCTGAAATAACTGGGTTATTGTGTAGATTTTGATATAATTTTTCAAATACCTATATTTTCTCCTTTCTCCGTCACTGTTATTAACTTGTTTTGTCTTGTATACATTATTTCTATTTTTAAGGACTCCTCTTTAAGGTGTTGGTTCTCATCCTACGTTTTTTGTTTCATTTAATTATGTAAAGCACTGATAATCTGATAAAAGCTCTGGCCTTTCCCCTCATATGTGCATATATAAGTAATTTCATATGATTTTACTTTCAAATTGAAGAATATGAGCCATACAAAGCTCATTCGTGGATCACATTTTTCTTTCTCAAGTTGAAAACTACTGTTCTAACAGGTAGACATTAGTATTTCAAGAAAGTCAGAAATAAACTGGCAGTAATAGAAGAATTAATAGAAAACTCTAAATGTTATGTTGTTCCTTCTGCACTGCCTTTGACTTCCTCTCCTTTTATTTACCTCCTTTCCATCACCTTCCAATTTGCATCCCTATAGAGAAGGACTTCAAGAAAAGGGAAACGAAGTTTTATCTGCGAAAGTGACAGGGTGTTTCAATGGTAGATACCTTGTTGACCATCATTGCTGAGTCCTCCTAGAGCATAGATGTATATTCCAGAGGCCTTGGAAAACATTCCAAAAGTTGCAACAGAATAATAGGTCTCTTTCACCTTGTTCATACTTAGAAAGAACTGACTTCTAAATGTTTATTTTGTTGTGTGGTCAGAATCAATAGCGAATCTTTATCTTGCTAAAGCAAAGAAAACAAACAGCAAAGATAGATGAGTCATCCTTACACTCTCTCCAAAATATTGAAGGTCTAAGCCCCATTTTGACTGAAATACATATACGGAAAGTATGAATGTCAACAAGGGTTTGAAGCAGCCTGGAATATTCAGGAGGAGGGGATACAGGAGATTTGTAATCAGACCTATCTGGGATCCAGACATTATGCACTAGGGTGCTGATAAGTCTCTTAATATTTACCTCTCAATGTGTTGTAAAGCTTAGTGATGATGCAAAAATGTACCTGCCATCATTTATTTACTCATCCATCCATTACTTCATTTAGCCAATACTTATTCAATAGTTACCAAGTGCCAGACATTGTTCTAATAGCAATGAAGGGATAACATTCCATATATTATCAAGCCTGGCATCTAAGAACAAATCAATAAATCATATCTACAGGAACTCATAAGAAAGGTTCTAATAGATCCCATGATACTGCTATGCTTGTTAACAGATCGGATCATGAGAAATGTATTTGTTTGCTGACTGTTGGCCTTTTCAAAAGTTAATAATGGCAGTGATACCCTACTGCTATCAAATATTTTGAGTGAATGTAAAATAGTCCAAAACGAAGTTTAATAAACTCTGTTAAAAACAATCTGATTTAGATTTAAAATTATTGATAAGCAATGAAAAGCTGGCTTTTTTTTTAAGAGTCAGAATTATGTTATGGCACACAATTCTCATTTTTTTTTTTTTTCAGTTTCATGCCTTAGAAAGGTTATTTGATTTTAAATCTGTAGTCTCAAGAAATAGAACAAAGTCTGTTTCCTTCAAAATCCAGGTATGGCTCCAGAATTCATTTCCTCATCCCAAGATACTAGATATGCTTTGTTTCCGTGGATAGAGATATATATTTTGCTTTCAGCTTCCCTTGAAATTGAATCAATTTTATAATAAATTATCAAACATTAGATTTTTCAGTTGTGTTCTAACTGTATGAGTAGAAAGGAAAATATTTAACCTGAAAGTTAGATGCACACTCTTAAACATTTATGATTAGTCCAAATATTTTATATTACTCCTATAAAATAATTGTCTAATTATTTTTAAAAATCAACTGAGGTCATGGTAGTTCACGGTTGGTGCTGTGAGCAGTTTCCATTTGCCATTTACTCTGTATGTCTATACAATCTGCTTCTGTGAAGGTTCACTTCCTTGAATAAATATCTTCTTGTTTTTCTTCTACTGTTTAATGCTAAGTGTATTCAGAAGTTATTACATCAATAAAAATTTCAGCCTTATTAGCATGGGTATTTGAATGCATTTTCATGGTAAAACGTCCTTCAAGTGATCTCCTGGGCATCTACTTTTAGATACAGTGCCAGAGCCGTGGATATCTACAATAAAATAAAATGAAGTGTCAAACATGGTTTAATCCAAAATCTTAACCACAGCCAGTTTATGGGATAGTTGGAAGATGATGTAATGATTCACCATTTGAACAACTTTCTCCACAATACATTATGCACTGGGCTTGATGTGAGCTTGACAATACAATCTCTTTTAGGGAATGATGATGAGGGAGCTCTGAACACCAGTCTCTTCCCTTGGCTCAAAACAATGGATCTTAGACTTGAGTGCACACCAAAGTCACCAAAGGGCTGTTTAAAATATAGCATGCTGGGCCCTACTCCGAGACCGTTTGGGTCAACAGTTCTACAGTGAGACTCGAGAAATTCCTTATCTAAAGAGTTCCCGGCTTAAATAAATGGTGGAAAAAAACGTATTCATTTCTGATGTGATGTTTAGAGCAAAATTCTGAGAAGTGATATGGCTGGTGGTTGTACTCCCTTACTAAAGGTGAGCTGAATGACTGCATCTTTTGTTTTAGTTATGGTGGCTTAGCTAATGAAATAACTCTCATGTAGATGCAGTCACCAGCATGCATGATCCTTTTTCATGCAGATCGTTTAGAAATAGAATGAGTGGTACTAATTATAGGAGCTGTACTCACTAAGTATACTACAGGAATACATTTAATTATGACGGATGTCTACCATCCAATCCCAAGAAAGCCTCTCTTCATTTGCTCTTATCTTTCACATGTACTCACACAATTTAGGAGTTACATCTTCAGTGGTTACACCTGGGGATGGAGACATATTGGGTAAATGGGGGAGCTACATCTGCTCACACCCAACTTCCCCCCCTCTATTCTTTGTAACTGCCTAAAACAAGGCTCTTGTCAAAGACAGTCATTCCCTTGACTTTCTAACATGAAAATCCAGCACAGCTGTTACAGGTGAAGTGTTCAACTCATATTTTTCTGTTAAATATTTGTACATGCAAGCTGTCCTAAAGAGTTATTTACATTTTACATCTTGTACCCTTGCACTGCAATTCATGTTTATTTTTATGAAACTAGAAATCCAGGGCCGGCTTCTCTCTGAACTAAAATGTCAAGGCAAAAATACTATGTGTTTAGAACCAGTAACTGTAATTGCATTCTTCCCTAATCTGATCTCCTGGTGGGGTAACATTAGAGTTGTCACACTTATCAAAGTGCCATGTCATCAATAAACAGCAATGACCCTAATAAAAACAATAATGATAACAATGATGATGATTAACATTTCATTGAACTTTTGCTAGAAATCAGACACTTTGTCAAGAAATTTATATGAATTTAAATCAATGATCAAAACAAACATATGAGAAAAAATATTCTTTTCATTTGCATTTTAGGCACACAAGAAAACTGAGTTTCAGAAAGAGTTACATAACTCCTTTAGTGTCACATAATGAGTAAAGGGTAATTAATATGGGACCTTTATTGAGGCAACTTAATTCCAGAGTCCTTTCTCTTAATGACTACCTCATTGTCTTAACCATGAATTATATTTTGTGCACTTTATGTTATGTTGTTACTCAACTGAATACAATTATAGTTAGTATAAGACATTATAACTAGACAACAAGGTCCTTAACAAAAAGCTAAACACCTACAAATAAGAATATGTTCCATTTTAAAAATGAAGACTTCGAAGCTAAGAAAAGTCATTTCATTTTTGCCTCAAATAACTTTCGTGAATTTCCTATCACATAGCGTGTGCCTGATACAATGCAAAACCCCATTCCTGCTAAAAGTTCTGAAATTGTGGTTCTCACACTTGTTTGAGTGGTAAATTACAAAGTAATGACGACCTTTTCTCAAAATGAAGAGATCTATTTTTTTTTCTCTTTCATGAATTTGTGAAATTCAATGGGACATAATTGTTCAAACAGACATAATATATTCGGCATCACCATTACATCCTCTAAATTTAATAAACCTAGAGCATTTTACTGTTAACTATTTTTTATGGCAAATCTATTGTCATAATAGAAGTATAAGCTAGAATTTTTACTACATTAACTCTTGTCCAATGTTTCACATCGAAGTAATAATATCACAGAATCATGAATACAAATTATTAAGATAATTTTCTGGCATCCCAAGAAACAACTTGCATTAAGTTAAGGCAGCTTTGCAAATGAAACAAGCACGTTCAACAGGCACTGATTCCAAGTATCTATATCTATCCAAACAGTTCTCTGAAAAATGGTAATTCTAATCCCTATAATTTATTCATCTCAGGATACACTCCAAAGTATTGTTTGCATGTGTTATCCACTAGCTTTAAAGACAGTATTCATTATTGGGAGGGAACAGACGCAACTTATCAGAAAGGTTGGTTGCAGTGATGTTTGTGCCAAAGAACACTCTATTTGGCAAACATTCGTAAACCTGATGAGAAAAATAAAAGAAGAGTTATTAGGATTCAAGATTTAAGTCATTTACCTCCAAGATCCTCCCAAGAGCCACACTGCAATCACTGTAACAATTCCAAATCTCATTCTAGATGCCCGTAAATACTCAAATTGGAAAGAAACCTGTAATTGCCCAGTGGAATTTTCAAATACACTTAACTTTGCTATTTCAAGCCACAGACACCAAGTGGACAAAAAGGTAATCCTCTTAATTTTCATCAACTTATCAAAGCTGAGGTTTTAAAGTGATACGTTTTTCTCCTTATTCTTGGCACAAACCATCCATGACAATCTAGAAAGCTGGAAAAAGTCTTTGGGCCAAAATATCAGACCACAAACGGAATGTCTGTGAGGTTTTATAGGCAGTAGGAGCCCTCTGATATCATTAGAATTGTTGACATTAAGTTTTATGTTACAGGTTATTCAAACAGTAAGCGCCATGGACAAGGATGATCCCAAAAATGGACATTATTTCTTATACAGTCTTCTTCCAGAAATGGTCAACAATCCGAATTTCACCATCAAGAAAAATGAAGGTAAAAATATTAGCTTTGTGCAACAGGGTAGCATAGAAATTGGAAAACAGGATACAATTTCATAACCTAACTGAAAATATCATTAAAATAATTTTTGTTCACCCATGAGCAGTTGAAATCCAGCTTATCAGCCTAATGGCATGATAATTACCTCACTCTCCCTTTCCAACACTGAAACAATAGATAAGAAAATTGTTAATGTGAAAGTTAATTTTATCCCAGGGAATACCTCAATCACCTTACTTTAAAAAAATGAAGTGTGAATTTTAACCTGTGTGAAAGTTTCCAGGAATTTTCAGATACTGAGATATCTGTTAGAGGAGGAGCTGGCTTGCACTTTGCGCTTGTTAAGTTTTAATTGAATGTTTACCGACTCTTTAGGGAAAACCTATTCTGATTTTGCCTGATTTGTGGGTACACATTGGAGGTATTTGTTTTAAGCCTGTACCAACTTTAACAATAATAATTAGATCAGAAAATCCTTCCTGAAGGACACTTCCTATCAGTATTAATTTGGAGCTAATATGAACTGATTTATTGTTAAGTCTTTCACTCACAGAGAACATTTAATCTAGTTCATTATTTTTTGAGGACTGAGTATGGATTACTGTTTCTTTTTACCATAATGTTTATAACATATATAGGCCATAGATCATTTTTTTAAAGTCTGTCTCGTGTTTGTTTTTGATTCCTAAGCTGCTATATATTTAACAAGATTTAAAAAAAAATTTATATGGGTGCAAAGATATTTCAGTCTTAGTTTTAGCTGCTTTAGAATGATTAGCAAAATATAGGTAATGTCTCAGGCTGTTTTCTGGCTTTACTACAGGCATCTGTTTGATGTCTCAATAGTCTATGTATACACTGTATCTAATTGGAAGAGTACAATTTGGTTCATAGTATCTGTTTGGATTATTTGCTACATTCTATTTAAAGGAGGTAGTGAATTTTGATAAAACTTCCTTTATGAAATAAAATAACGTTTTATGGATTGCATTAAATATATTATGGCTTTGCTTTTAACATAATGCTACTTAGTTCTTTGGGGATGCTTTGATAAATGTGGATACATCACCGAAAAGGAAATGAGAAAGGCGTTATACAGATGTTACTCATTTAGCTGACTTCCACTATTATAAGCACTAAGGAGACAAAACCCTGTTCTTTCTTCTTAGTGATGGAGTACTCATTTGTTAGTCACTTCTGATTAAGAACTCTAATCCAAGCACATTGTCTTTGTCTCTCTGTTAGCACTGCCATTTTTTTTTTTTTTTTTTTTTTTTTTATGGAACTCACATGAATATGTCTGACACAAAAGCCCTCTCAGAGACCACAGACCAAATGCCCATCAATACATGAGTGGATTAATAAAATGTGGTATATGTATACCAAGGAGTTCTACTCAGCCACAAAAAACATGGTGATCTAGCACTTCTTGTATTATCCTGAATAGAGCTGGAACCCATTTTACTAAGTGAAGTATCACAAGAATGGAAAAACAAGCACCACATGTACTCACCATCAAATTGGTATTAACTGACCAACACTTAATGTGCACATTTAGTAGTAACATTCATCGGGTGTCGGGCAGGTGGGAGCGGGGAGGAGGGGATGGGTATATTCACACCTAATGGGTGCGGTGCTCACCATCTGGGGGATGGGCACACTTGAAGCTCTGACTTGGGTGGGGCAAAGACAATATATGTAACCTAAACATTTGTACCCCCGTAATATGCTGAAATAAAAATAAAAAAACAAAGAAGTATAAACCACAAACTGAACTGAAAAGCTGCACATAAGTGTGGTCCATGCTTATTTTGATTGTGAGCTAATTAGTATTAGTCACTATTCTTGTTTATAAAACTCCCTACCTTTAAAATTTTTCTGTAAAGAAATGTTTTCCCCTCCCAAATATTCTGAACCCCCTGGTGTTTCCCGTACATTCCATAATTTCAAGATATGCCTGTTGTAATTGTGGCCCTGGAAGGCATTACATAAGGTGTTGGATAATTGAGAAGATATTATGGGGTGCCAGGGAAGTGTAATTTTGACCTATTTTTATTATGCCCTAACATTTTAAAAAGGAGATTTAATCCTATGGTGAATGAATTTCATGTGTTTTCTCTAATTTTTGAAATTAGTAGAAAATAAACCTTCTTCTGCCTCATCACACATTTCAATAAACCCTGTACTGGGATATTAAATGTCATGTGGATTATCTGTTTTATTTTCAAACTAGAAAATGGAAGTTACAACTTCAATGTATCTTACAGGGTTTTAATTTTTTCTTTGTTTTGTGAAATAAAATTTTAAAATAACCACAATCAAACAGATACCAGGTATTACAAAATAACTTGGAACAGAAAGAGTACTCTATATGTCATGATTCTTTTTTTTTAATTCTGTTTATTTGTCTTGCAGAGACCATATCATTTATTATTCCAACTGGGATACTTTTTAAAGTGAAAGGGGTTTTTCATATTTTGTATTTCATATTTATGTCTGAAAAGCATCATAAACAAGAACTGTCTTGTGGGAAGTAGGACATATTCACCGTGATTTTGGATTTAGGGTCCAAATATCCAACATCTCCTTCATAGAATAAATCATGAACACACAAGTCTTTGGAATGGATACATAAAGTTTATACTCCATTTTCTTTTCCAACATCAGAAATTCATGAATTTTGCTCCATAGACCACTACTTCTTTGACATCTGGACAGTTATTGTGAAAATAGAAAAAATAATTTGTCTCTGCTTAATATGCAGAAACAATTAAGTAGTGAAAAGAGGTTGTCAAATTAAAAATGTTGTAGGTGTATATAAGTAAGTAGGTAGATAGAGGATACATAGATAGATATTTTGTGAGCCTGTTGCCAATTCATTGTTAATGATGAAAGAACACAAAAACTACCAAAAAAAAATATCAAAATACTAGAAATTATTTACTTTAAAATTATGGTGTACTTTATATTGGAAACATGGAGAGAGAGAATCAAATCATGTAACCATATTTAAAATTGTTTCTTTCTTCTTAAAATGGACTTCAAAATGGTCAGTAGCTGAGGTTTCTCCACTGAGAATATTATCAATTTCAAGTTCCAGCCCATCAGAAAAATGTTAAAATTTTGAGACAGCTAATATATTTACATCCATAATTGATGAATGAATTTCTGTCCTATTTAATTTGGTCTTTAAGGGAGACGGTTCTCAGGGTTTCTGTATTTGGCATTTCCTAAGGAACTTGCAGCCATATCTTTCAATTGGAAATTATTGTGATCTCTCTCCTCACTGATATAGATTGGTCTAATGCAATTTTCTAACAACTAATTCATAATCAAAGAAAAAATGGGATAGAAATTAGCTATCTCTTGTCTCCTACACAGTTGAGTGATTTCACAAATAATTCTCCTAATTATATGAGAGTCATATTTCTGCTAGAATAGGAAAGCAACCTTTAATATGTATAAAGGTAGAAGTAAAGGTCAAAAATATGATAAGTCATTTAATATAACATGCACATATGAAAAAATCATAGCACCTTGAATTTTTCTATATGACCCAGATATTTGTTTTTTTCATCTTCCATGGAATTTGAGTGAATTTATTAATATAAACAGAAAGTTGTGTTGACCACATTTCAGTATTGGCATCCATTCTAACCATAGAAATGGAAAATACCCAACAATTAAATATAACAAGACAGGGAAGATAAATGAGCTTTTCACAGATACTGAAATATCTTGCTTGTAGGAAATTTGAGGTCTACAGAAACCTCTTCTCCAGCTTGCACACTGTGGGTAAAAAATTTTATTGGAATTACCAGAGCACAGTCTGGTAAAATGGGAGTTTTTGTGGTTATACTAAAATGTTTAAACCATATGAAATGAAAAAAAAAAAAAAAACCATAAAGCTCTGTTTTCTAAGGAGAACCTGTCAGAAGAAGATAAACACAGTAAACTGGGACTTAGTTATTTCTTGGTTATGTTTAAGAAAAAACAGAAAGGAAACTATAGTAGTACCTGATGATACTGATTTTTTTTCTTCTTGGTATCTCCCCATAGACTGAAATCTTATTGATAAGAAGCTCATTTTAAAGGTACAATTTTGGTAATTACCTTGAATAATGCAGATGCTGACTGGAACTTTGGAATAAACATGCCTTGGGTTATGTCATTGTCCATGACATAGTTATCTGTATAGAGTAGAATTCAGGCTTGGGGTTGAGGGATCTTCATCTCAAGTGATTGGCCTAATTCAAGTAGTATATGTTTTAACTCCTTTTATCTTCTGGTAGTATCCCTTGTGAGAATACTCTGACTATAAACAAATTATTTTAAGCCTCAGTTTCCTCATCTGTAATACCAGGATAATACACCTGCCTCACAGGTGTGCTGAGATGGATGTGTGTAACTGATGACTTAGCTCTTAGCACAATGGGCGGCACATAGAAAAAAAAAAAAACTCATTAATAGGCAAGACAAGATCCTTTTTATATGAATTCAATAATTCCTAACTTCTCATACTGTGTTACATCTCCTCTGCCTTATCATTCTCAACCAGTTCTCTTTTCAGCTTTAACTCTCCAGATTTTTTTGTTGCGGTTACATTGTGCAGTAATTTTGAAAGTGGCCTCATAGGTAAAACAATGACACTCGCTAGAATGCATTGCAAGAAATCTGCTTATGTAGTACTGTAATGTACTGCAGCCTACAGGCTATTATAATAGAAAGACATAATAAAAGGAGGAGAAGGAGGGGAAGGGGGAAGAGGAGGACGAATGGGGAGATTATGAAAATATTTGCCAACCACAGAAATAGCTGCAGGATTCCTGGATCTGGTTTTGAATATGAAGACATTTTTTTTTTCCTTTCTATATCATCTTTGCCTAAATGAAATTTGGGTTTTTCCACGCAATGGCTAACCCCATCTCCCAACTTGTTAGTGTCACTTTCAATTCTAGCACATCAAGTTGTTTCAAATTGCCTCAAACTTTCCG